TATATATGAACTTGTTCTGTGATATTTAGTCTTACAACATCATCTATTCGGACAACGTGGCTCTTCCTGATATTCAATCGTATTACATTTACTGTCACATGTCTAGGCTAGTGCTCTGTTCAAGGGCAATCTCACGGCGGACCTTTTGTACCTGGGCTTTGGTGCCGTGCAGTTCGGGGTGTACAACGAATGGAGGAATCGCTTCAGCCCGGTATGTATCGTGTATTCAGCAACTCAGATGCGTATGTATCTACTTAAATGTGCATGTATATGAGAATGGTTGGGTATACTTTGTTGACATACGCATGTGATCATAATCACGAACGCTCAATATTTACACTGCACACATGCATCAACCATGCTGGTTGTGTGCCACATCTGTCGAATCAATAGCATTCGTTCTAGGAGGGGTTACGGGAATAGTGGCAACTCCATGCACATATCCCCCGCAACCGACAGATACACACACCAATACACACACACATACATATGTTCATACACGTACATACGCTTAATCTCTATCTATACACACTCGTTTACACTATGCCTACGCGCGTACCACAGATGTCCAATTCGATGGCATTCATCGGAGGAGGAGTCGCAGGATCCGTTGCAACGACCTGCACATATCCTCTGGATCTGCTGCGGACTAGGTTGGCAGCTCAGGGCGAGCCTAAAGTGTACAAGTCATTGTCACACGCCATCGGTCAAATGTACCGAAGTGAAGGTGTGTAGGCAATGAAGTAAGGCTCACATATTAGAGGTGTGTGTGCAATGAAATGAGACGCACATACTAGAGGTGTGTGTGCAATGAAATGAGACACACATATTAGAGGTGTTTTTTTTAAACTATAGGTTGTGAATGTGCGTGATCACGATCGACACTTGCAGGTAACGGTGAGCCTAAAGTAGCTGTCGCGAGCTATCAGTCAGCTATACAGAACAGACACTATAGCGTAAATCTACGTACGTATATATGTCGCCTTTATTGTAATGAGCATCCTCATATGGCTACAAGTAGAAGGAATATGTTGGCATGCTTACAGCAGCAATTGATGAACGGAAAAACCTTATATGTATCTCATATATATGTATCTCATATATATATATATATATATATATATATATATTGTATATATATATATATATATATATATATATATATATATATATATATATATATATATATATATATATATATATATATATATAT